TCCAGTACTTTGGCCATCTCATGAGAAGAGAAGACTCCTTGGAAAAGACTTTGATGTTGGGAAAGTGTGAAAGCAAGAGGAGAAGGGGACGACCGAGGATGAGATGGTTGGACAGTGTCATCGAAGCAACCAACATGAATTTGACACAACTCCGGGAGGCGGTGGAAGATAGGAGGGCCTGGCGTGCTCTGGTCCATGGGGTCACGAAGAGTCGGACACGACTAAATGACTGAACACCTCATTTCTGATGGGTCTTGCAGTCTCTGTGTGCTTTGGGTTTTTTTGCATTTCTGAAGGGTCTTGCAGTGTCTGTTTGCTTTTTGCTTCGCTTTTTTTGCATTTCTGAAGCATCTTGTACGTTTTTTTAAAATTTTCTCCCCCCCTTTGGCCAGAACTGATGAATCGCGTTTCCAATGGGTTTTGCAGTGTTGTGTTTTTTTTGTGATTTTTTCCTTTGGCCAGAACAGATTAATGCATTTCAATACATTCCTATGGGAAATGGTGCTTTGAGTTATGATCATTTAGAATTATGACCGGAGTTCTGGAAACAATTAAGTTAGTACGTTGAGGCACCACTGTACATTTTCAGCAAAATGGTGCTCTGAGGTATGCAGTTCTCACACTACTTAACTGTAACAGCCTCCAGAGTGTACCAGTTCCATTCATTCTTAACCTACTTGCTGAACTGTCCAAGACTACTAACATTATTTACAAATAATCAGACAAAAATGACAGATCAGTGACCCTGCCCTATTGACTCTAACCAATTCTAGAATGAACTCATACAGAATTTTGAGATTCTCGTTAAGATGTCAAAGAATCATTTTCCGAGAGATAAAAGGTCTTTTAAACAGGTACCAACTTGCAACTTTTAAAATCGTATAGACTGTTGTTAAGTCATATAGCTGAACTTAGTTTGATGTAGAATATACACTTGCATAAATTGGACACTGTAGCAAACTACCACTTGCAAGGCACTATTACATTATGATGCATCCCAATTGCACAAAAGATGCACACCTAGTAACGCAACTGTATAGACTGTTGTTAAGTCACATAGCTCAACTTAGTTTGATGTAGAATATACAGTACACTTGCATAAATTGGACACTGTAGCAAACTACCACTTGCAAGGCACTATTACATTATGATGCATCCCAATTGCACAAAAGATGCACACCTAGTAACGCAACTGGCACTTCTTTACTTAGCAGTGATTTATTTACCCATAAATCTTCTGGCCTACTGAGCTACTGGAATTAATCCCATTTTAGAAGAAATACATTATACAGAATATCAAGCAAAAACATGCTAGCACAGACTTAACATGGCTACCTCTTCTAAAACTACAAATTTGCACAAAATGTTGCCTTTTTTTACATGTGCTACTGGAGATGCCAATGATTCTAACTGCTTACAAGTAGAGATGGGGGAATTCGTATATGAATGTTTTTACATATGCTACTGGAGATGCCAATGATTCTAGCTGCTTACAAGTAGAGATGGAGGAATTCGTATATGAACATCCACCCACAGGTGGAAATAACGAAGGTCAAGCCCCATGGGGTCGGACTCTCCACTCACCATTCCGCTGTTCACGTGCGGAGCCTATCTATTGTGCCGTTGTCTGCAATGGATTAGCCACTCCTGGCAGGAGGCGGGATGACAAGCCTCTCTGCCAGGTCGCAGAGCAACAGAGAGATATCGGACTGTCCACTCACTATTCCGCTGTTCACGTGCGGAGCCTACATATTGTGTCGTTGTCCGCAATGGGTTAGCCACTCCTGGCATGAGGCGGGACGACAAGAGAGAGATAGGAAGGCTCCATTGAGCACCTGTGGGAGGATATTCATATTTGTATACAAATATGAATATCCTCCCACAGGTGCTCAATGGAGCCTTCCTATCTCTCTGTTGCAATGGATTAGCCACTCCTGGCATGAGGCGGGACGACAAGCCTCTCTGCCGGGTCACAGAGTGGCTAATCCATTGCAACAGAGAGATAGGAAGGCTCCATCGATCACCTGTGGGAGGATATTCATATTTGTATACAAATACCCCAATCTCTACTTACAAGTGCACTGATATAACAAAGTCTTGAAACTATCATCATTATACTCAGCTTGTTAATAAACAGCTTTGACTAAGGCACATATGATACTCATGAAAATGGCAGACAGGAAACAAGTTTACAGTCTATTGGCTGAAATCCAGCAGTAAGTTACAACTAGAGTAAGCCCATTAAATCAGTGGAAGGATTTGTATATGTATTTGTACAAATTTTTATTCATATTTGTATACGAATACCACCATCTCTACTTACAAGTGCACTGATATAACAAAGCTTTGAAACTATCATCATTATAATCACCTTGTTAATAAACAGCAGCTTTGATTAAGGCACATATGATACTCATGAAAATGGCAGACAAGAAACAAGGTTGCAGTCTATTGGCTGAAATCCAGCAGTAAGTTACAACTAGAGTAAGACCATTAAATCAGTGGGGATTTGGTAAATCCATTGATTCAATGAGTCTACTTTAGTTGTGATTTACTACTGATTTCAGCCATTGCTTATGTAGTGTATGCAGTAAGCATACATGAATATGATGCAAACCTAAACCTAAACCCAGCTGCACAGCACAGTGTGAATTATATATGTAGTCACTGATACTGGCACACAACATTTTTAAATGACATTAAAAAAATTCCAGGAATCGAAACAGGCTTGAGATACACACGACTAGAAACAAGGAATCACTGAAACCAACAATACGGAAATACACTGTTTTAGCTTTCCAGTTCTTAGCAGGTTTGAAACTTACCTGTCTGTCCTCTAGCATGAAGTCATCTATTTCCATTGTTTCGTTATTGTATAATTTTCCGGAGAGAGTCACTTGAAAGTTACAGTACCTCTGCAGCTCACAGGCCTCACAAGAACGTTTCACTGGGTTTCTTAAAGTTATGTGGATATTAGGATAACTATCGACTCGTTCCTAGAAAAAGATATTTGGTTGGGTTCCTGCTCAGCACCTGTTCCACTGAGTCAGCTACCGCTCTGGAACAGTACTACATAGTCATATATGAATGATCCTGAAAACTGATAGCTGTTCCTGTAATAAGCTGATTTAAATATAAATCAGGATGATGAATGTTTGGCCTTTGACTAGAATTGCCATCAGTTCTAGCCTGCATAGCCAATGATGAGGGATAATGGGAGCTGCAGTCAATAATAACGTCGTGTGTTCCCTATTAATACTATTTAAAAGCCCATTTATAATTATTTTCTCCTCTAGAAAAACCATTAGTGTTACCCCTACTTTCTGCTAGATAAAAATATTTTAAATGAGATACTTTATGATTGAACTCCTGTAGCAGGACTTATTGCTCATAAGGCTGATGACATTATCAGCAATGTGGTTTTTCCCCCCTATAAATTAAATTTCTGATCCCCATCCTCACAAGGTCCCAAGGCTCTCTTGAGAGCCCTTTCATCCAGGGGAAACCACTGGGGCGATGAGGTGTGTGAACTTAATTTCCAAAAATGACTGCCACATATAGAAAATGAAAAAGGTAGACGTTTTCATTATAAACTATTTGTAATTACATGCAACATTTACAGTTTCAAAAATTACAGCAGGTTTCCCTTATCCACAGGATCAGTATCCACTGATTCACTTAAATGCAACATTTACAGTTTTGAAAATTGTGAAAATACACCAGGTTCCCCTTATCCACAGGATCAGTATCCACTGATTCACTTATCCACAGTCTGAAAATATAGAAAATATTAAAAGGGAAAAAATCCAGAAAAAACTACTTTCACATGTATTACGAGAACCTGCCACTAGAGGAAGTCAGAAACTATGCTATGAGCACTTTTTAGTGAAAAATACATAGTGTGGTCTCTGGTGCCCTCTAATGGCCAGTTCTGGTAATACAGCAGAATTTTCCCCCCTGGTTTTATAATTCCCTTTTACCATTCTAGATACATAGCATTCACTATCATCCACAGCTTTCAGTATCTATGGGGTACTTGGAACCAATCCTCAGCGGATAAAGGGGTCCTACTGTATACAAATATAAACAAAAGCATCAAAAAAGAGTTCTATCACGGACAAAAAGTAAACTTTAATATTAACTGTAAATGTTGAACGTCATTACAAATAGCTTATAATTAAAACTATGTATTCAATTAAATGCCAGGGAAAGTTCAAATATGATACCAAATACAGGGATAACAAAGAAAAATCAATGCCTTGTATCGTTGTTTCCAGCGACTTCTAGCAAGTAAATTGGCAAGACGAGGTTGAATAAAACGATCATCCAAGTAATGCAGTGAAGTCAGCATATCTTTCGCATACCTCTTTTGTCTCTCTCCCTCTGTTAAACAAGAAAGAGAATAAAATTTTAATCATAATAATAAATAAAGCAAATGAAAGCAAAGTGTGCTGCTTATATACCGCCCCACAGTGCTTCAAGCACTCTCTGGGCAGTTTACAAGTTAATTATGCAGGCTACACATTGACACCCCGCCCCCAGCCAGCGGGGTACTCATTTTACCAACCTCAGAAAGATAGAAGGCTGAGTCAACCTTGAACTGGCTACCTGGGACTGAACCCCAGGTCGTGAGCATAGTTTTGGCTGCCGTACAATGGTTTAGCCACTGCGCCATGTGAACTAAATAAATGCACAACTCTTAATCTCTATTAAAATCTCTTTTAATAGAGATTTAAAAGGAGGGCCTGGCATGCTCTGGTCCATGGGGTCATAAAGAGTTGGACACGACTTAACGAATAAACAACAACAACAAAAGGAAGGCTCACAAATCTTTGCAACAGTATTGTTTTGCTTACCATATAATGAGATCAAAAAGGTTTTATCAATTGCGTTGATTAGAAAAGCCTTTACAACTCTTTGAAAATGGACAAAATGATCAACGCGAGACACTGTTAAAAATAAATACATAAAATAATTAGTAAATCATATATATCCCTATGACCGCCAAATTCACAACTTACATAAAAATTTCATTATATTTTCTACACGGATATAAGTAATGTATAATGAATGGGCTTCTACAAAATGCTATAATATAAAAGTATAAACGCTATATTCATAGCCATTTCTAGTTTATTTCAATCTTACAGAATGGCATGTGCTTCTCCAACAGTGTGCTTGATGCAGCTTTCTTTTTCTCTGGTGGCTTTCCTTCATTTTCCTCAAGGTTTTCCTCTGGCAAGCCATCTCCCTCCTCCTCTTCTACTATGAAATCTTTCATGCTGTCACCATCGGAGGTGTCACTGGTTTCAGCCTGAGAGAAAGGTGACTGGCAAGAATCATCTAGTGTTCCCACATCATCTTCAGTATCCTAGTGAAATTGTACAAGCAAAAAAACATTATTTTAACATTTTACTGATTAATTTATTAATTTGTGTTACCACAGTATACATCAGCAACCTATTTTAAAAATATGTATTTTAAGCTAGTTTTTGAAAAATAACTCCACTGGAAAACCACTACCATCAAATTAAATTCAGAATACACATTTATAGACTAGTGGACCACATCTACTTTCACAAACCAGTTTTGAAAAAGTCAAACTGAATTAAATAATTTTTTTTTGTTTAAATTGTCCAAAATCCCATGTTTAATTTAAATTATTTTAATTTAAATCAATTTGATTTAAATCAAATCCATCCTGTTACCAAGTGAATTAAGATTACAATCTCAGCATTAAAAGATGTATTTAAACTTGTCCCAGCTGTGGAGCTAGGCTGAAGCCACGTGGGTCAGTCACCAACCTATGTTCAATGGTGTTACTGTCACAACAGGGCAGCAGCCAATTTAATCTGCTCCTTGATCAGCGATCACATCCAGTGTGCGAACTGTAACAGGGAAAGATTGGGGCTTCCCTTTCAATTCTTGCAATTTTAGCATTTTCTGCCAAACGTCATAAAACAAACTGTGCACATCAGTTGCAAATGTAACGATGTAAACAAAATCAAAGATGTACCTCTCCACATTCACTGACACTATAACTCTGTCTGGATCGTTGTTGGGACAGTTCCTGCAGTTTTGCTAGCCTTTTTTGTCTTCTGCTTGTTGCTTCTTCTGCAGGTGACTTGTTCTGCTCCTGTGCATTAGCCAAGTCTTCATCATCTACAACACAATTGCGTTTAGCAAACACTTTTCTAACAATATCACTGTCATCACTTTCATCACTGTCATAAACCACAGATGGCCGAGACCTTTTGCGCTTCCCAACGTTGATATTTTCCTCTTCCTTGTCTTCTCCTGCTGTGCCATCATAACCTGTCCCAGAAGCTGGAAGACTAGCTACCCTACCTATATCATCTCTACTATTGCTAAGAACAGATGCATCTTGTTCTTTTTCATCCATATCATCTTCTGAACTTGTTTCAAGTTCTTCTTCTGACTGTGATGCAATTTCATCATCCTCTTCCTCACTATCAAGGAATCTACTACTTTGTCTTGTACGTCGCCAGTCAATCCGAGATTTGGCTAATGGTTCTTCTGCTCTTGTGCTTTTCCTTGTTTCGTATCTTCTGCCAAGAGTATTTTTTTCCATAAGGACTTACTCCCCCACAAAAAAAGAGGAAGGAAACAAAAAGAAAAGACAAAAGTTATGCATTTAAGTTGCAAATTTCTAGAACTTTTTTTATTTTCCTCTGCATATTAGAAAAAAAGGAATGTTTTCTTGTTTGCACTGCCAACCCAAGGCTAGGACAGATTAATATATAATACACACAAATATATCTTAGATATACTAATATATTAGATATATAAACACATCATGTATATTATATTTCAAATCTCTTAGAAGGGAGATTTGAAGGCACACCCTATTCCAATCATATACAGTATGTCCTTGCAATGGTGCTGAAATAGAAATAGTGGGGCATGTCCTCTTATACTGTCATTTCTATTGAGATCTCCACAAGGATCTTCTCTCCCCTATTTTTCAAAGATTTCTGGGGAGGTCTGATGAATTTTATATTCTTTTGCTGTTCTCCGATAAGGTTCCTTATATTACTAGTAAAGTGGCCAAATACTGTACTGCTGCAATAGCTTGCCGCAACCTCCTGACCACATTAAGATCTTTGAGTGCCCCTGCTCTTGTTAGTGATGTCTTGTTTAACTTACTTTCTAGGACAATTCGGGTGGCATATAGATGCTTATGTGTCTCCTAATTTCATCCTATATCATGTGACTGCTGTGATGTTTGAAAAGCTTTTATATCCTTCAATGCTGCTGGCTAACTCAGAACTTTTTTAAACTTTAATGTTGTAAAAGAGCCAGAGGGTGCAATGATGGTGTCATGTTAATAAAATCACATTTCTTAGCATCCAAATGTTACAAAGTTATTAGTGAAAAATCCACAACATATTTAGGTAGAAGATGCATTAGGAAATCTCTCAAGGGATCTCCCATGTTGCCTGGCTGCTCTAACTCATGCAACAAGGTTTTCAGTCAAAGGAACACTTCTGAATCAACTTGTTTTCACCTACATCAGATTTCTTAGTTCTTTGCAGAAAGTCAAATAAACCTATGTTTGAAAATATATAAGCACTGAGTAACTCATGAAAGAAAAAATATTGATCAGCACGTTTCAATTCATGAAAACTGCCCATTTCTTGACATCTGTAACATTCAAAGTGGAAGTTTAGAATCAGATGCTATGGATCTTTCAGCAAATGGTACTGAACAAAAAAAATTAGTTATGGCGTCGTTTTCAAGGATATAACAATTAGGAAAGAGAAAAATCTAATGAATAAGGGCTCAAATAGAAACTGTAGACAAATTTAGCTATTGCATCTGTAATCTGAGGCCTTACTTTGCAATGAAGTGCCTTGCCTTATGAATAATCCCAACAGTGATCCCAAAACTACTACATAGAGCAACTATTTCAGTGATGTGTATAAGATATAGATGTACAGTAGGACTCCTGTTTCTGCAGGATCAGTATCCATGGTTTCACCTATCCATGGTCTGAAAATATTAAAAGAAAAAAAAAATACAGAAAAACTATTTTCACATGTATTATTAGAACAAGCCACTAGAGGGAGTCAGAGACAGTGCTATGAATAGTACTTGTTAATAAGGAACACACAGCATGGTCTCTGCCACCCTCTATTGGCCAGTTCTGCTAATGCATGTAAAATTAATTTCTAGGTTTTTTTCCCTTTTACCATGTTCTCTCTAACTATAGATATTATCAGCGATTTTCAGTATATGCGGTGGAGCTTGGAACAGATCCCCAAAAGATATGGGAGTCCTACTGTAGTCCAATGTGAGAATTGGCTCAGATTGCTGGGGGTCCAGTGGGGCCCTAAAGCAGCCATTCTCTATCTGTTTTTGGCTATTGCCATAAACACAATACAGTATTAAACAAGTACAGGCTGAATCAGGATTGTGTAAGTCACATAATGAACTTTATAAGAGTGTGGGAAATTTGTTTTTGTTCTGTGGCCCCTTTCAAATGTGCCAGACCTAGCTGAGAAGGGTTCCCCTCAAGGAACAGATGCTGCACCTCACAACACACTGCTGTAGCCAAAACTTTTCAGAGGAACTGCCCCGATGGTTGCCAAGCTGTTCTCCAGAGGTTTTCCGTAGTTACTGATCTTCTCATTGAGAAATGCCTGAAAAAATGTCTAAGGATCTCCAGAGGACTCTGCAGCCAAGAGAATCTAGCCATTTTTAATGTACAGTATATACAAAAAAATATTTATTTATTTATATTTATTTATTCGATTTTTACACCTGCCCCTCTAGACAACGTCTACTCGGGGTGGCTTACATAGGTTAAAACACAACAAAATAACAAAAATGGGGTGTTATTGGAGCAGGAACTCACACTGCACGTCCAGTGGACCCGATTTAGCCCATTTCCCATTTAAGCAGTGGTTCCCAACCTTGAGTCCCCAGATGTTCTTGGACTACAACTCCCACCTTCACCACCAGTTACTCTGGCCAGGATTCCTGGGAGTTGTAGTCCAAGGTTGGGAAACACTGCTTTAAAGGAAAGGGAAAAAACAAGACCATTTCCTTTCTCAGTCTCCTCTTGTCTACCCCTTTGTGGGGGAGAGGGAAAAGCTGCATTTCTCTCTCTCTAGATCTCTCTCTATAGAGATATAGATACACTCACACACATTTAAACCCATCACAAATATATTATTTATAATAAATATATTATTATTTATAATAAAATCATTTTGCTCTCCCTGCCCAACATGGAGGCAGTTCGACCTCCCTCTCGATCCTCGCTAGGTATGTGGGAGCGAGAAAAAGGGGAGGAAGTGGTTGTCAGTATTTCTCTCTGGGGCAGCGCGAGGGAAACGTCTCTGCACATGGTCAGAGGCACTCTTGGCTCCTGCCGCAGTGAACGAACGATCCTTTTCAACAGCGAACGCCTTGGGCTGAATTATACGTTAGACGTCCCCGCCCTCCCCCGGTTTTCCACTCGTCCCCTTCCACAGAATGTCGGACGCGAGACCCCCTTCCCCTCCCCTCCGTCGCCTCTCCCCGCCCTGCCTCTACCTGAAGGTACCGCGGCGGCCGCGCGCCCGGTACAACCAATAGGAAGTGGCGCCACAGGGACCAACGCGCCTTTGAAACAAAATGGCGGTTTGAGAACCCGCTTCATTGAGGTTCAGCCTGTGATTGGCTGCTCCTTGCAGTCACTCTCACACACCCTCCTCTCTCGGCCGCCTCCTTGGTTTCTCCATGCCGTTGTGTTTGGATTCCTGGCCCCAGCTGATCGGGAGACGTCACGTGACTGCCTTCTTTCCCTCACCTAGATTCGCGGCGCTAAACTCGCGCACACGGTGGCGGTGCCAAGATTCCGGGTTCATTTTAGAAGATTTATTTTGAGGGTCTCTCCCCCTCTCCCCCTTAATTGCCCATAGAAAATAATTGGAGAAAGGGCAAATGCTTAGCGAGTCGAATCTCTCTTGGTTCCCAGCCGATCTCTGCCTCCAAATTTCAAGAGGTGGCAGCAAAAACAAGACTGTGTGCTCCCTGTAATAAAGATTCATTTGGGATGAAAAACTGGGTTTCACTGACTGAGTTTGTTAGTTTTCAAATACTTGAAAGTGTTAAGTCGCTACTAAGCCATGATAAAAGTTAAACAAAAACAAAGGCAAAAGTACTGATATCTTTACGACTAACAAATTTATTTCAGTATAATGTTTGTGCATAGCAAGCCGGTTCCTCAGACAGAAGGAGGGACCATATTTATACAGTGTTTATAGTTGTGGGGTTGGGGACCACATGAAATGGGATACAGTCACAGGTAATGAACTTTAAAAGTGACAAGATCTTTATTAGCACAGGTAATAAACGTCTGAAGGGTTGATTATGTAAATATTCTGGCAATTAGTAAATAGTGATAATTGATCTTGTGTTGGCTGGTGCACAAGACTTTGAAGTTTTGCTACTTTCAGGATGGAGCTTGTTCTGCTGATGCCACAATTTTGCCAAACAACTCTTGGTTTCTATATACTCTAGCTAGGCAGTATAGAAAATCCACTTGTTACTCTGAACCCCTAAAAGGGCACATGTCCATCTTCATCCCCAGTTGTCCTGATGGCAACCTGGAGTTCAAGTGCCTCGGCAAGACCGGCCTCTCCTGACAGAGGTCAGGAGAGGGGGGGGGTAAGATTGTTCGGGACACGCAGGCACTCTGGTTAGGCTCAGAGGCACTCTTCCTGCCTGCACCCCTCAGTTGGGTGGTGGGGGCAGCTGTTCCTTCAAAGCACCTGCAGCTCTCCGCCTCCTCCCATGCCTGAGCCTGGCGTCCAGCAACCCCACACAACAGACAGCCTGCATCCCTTCCTTCCATGTGGAGCCTCCTCTGTATTGCAGCCTCAGCATGTTCTGCTCATAGTGTTGCACAGCTTTCCTTCTTCTCTGGGCATGTGCAGAGTGCCTTGAACTCAGTTTTAGATTTTTTCCCTCTTTTCTTGGCCCTCCCTCATAAGCTAGACTTTCTTTTCATTACTGTATTATGTATGTTTACTTACTTAAGCATTGTTCACTTATTTATAGCTTCCATGATTACCTTAATAAGTCATTTACATTATGCAGTATTACATTACATTGTTCATGTTGTGTCACTTGTTTAGGTAGGAGGTAAGGGAGAGGGAGGGAGGAGGAAGGCCCCCCTCCCCACTATTATATTTTTTGCCCAGGGCCCACCAGAGCCTTGAAACAGCCCTTGGAGTTACCTTGGGCCAATCAAACTCTCTTGGCCTGATCTACCTTACATAGTTGTTGTGAAGATAAGGCAAGAAAGAAGACTCCATGTATGCTAGCCTCAGCATACCTAGGAAAAGCAGGATGTAAATGCAACAATAAATGTAAAGAAAACACTTGCCAGTGGAGTGAAAAGTTTTCTACATTGAGCTGAGTGACAGATTAGACGTTGGAGGACATGAATATTGGGATGGGGGAGTCTGGGAGATTTTGGCTGTAAAGTCAGACCACCCTCAGCCTGATTTTTAATCTAGGTTTGTAAGAGTGGACTTTTTCATAATGAGTATGGTGTAGTCCTAGGCCTCAGGAGACCAGATACAAATGCATCCTCAGCCAAGGAAACTCACTGCAGGGTGACAATGGTAAACATTCTTGAATATCTCATAGACTTATTAAAACCTACAAGGATCACCTAGCAGAAAATGACTTGATAGCACAGAACAAAAACATGAAGAAGGGACTACTGGTTCTAAGACACTTGCTTGCAAAGTTGCCATTCCCCAGCCTGAAAGCCAAGGATAATGGGTTGTGTTGGTTACTATGAGGCAGGAGGCGAGGGTGGTAGCCGTCTTGCCAGAGTGCCGTCCCTCCTCCATACAGCTGAAAAGGAAGTACAGACCCAGCCTGTCTTACCCCCCAAAAGAACAGAGCAGTAAGGGACAGAGATGGGGGAGATAGAAGGAGTAATAGGAAAGTTGACCATTGAGGAGATTCAAGGGAAAATGGCGGGAATGGAACGGAAGAAGATGGTGGAGATAGAGGAGGGAACAGCGGATATAAAGAGGGAGGAACAGTTGCCACCAGGTTGGGAGTGGGTATGGATGGAAGATCCATGGACTGGAGTATGGGAAAGATTGAGAGTGCCCAAGGAGGAGGCAGATTATAGGAGGAGAAAGGAGATCCCTCCGAGAGATCCTCGTACTGGGGAGAGGCAGAAGCGAGGGAGTGGAGGAGGAAGCTAAGAGAAGAGAAGGAAAGAGGAGAGAGAGAGAGAGAGAGAGAGAGAGAGGAGAGAAAGGCTAGAATGGAGGGTGAACGAGATGAGAAGGAAGGGGCTCAGGGAGGGCCCTGGAGGACCCCGTCACCAGAAGAAGGTCCTGTGTGGGGTGATGGCTGAGATGATGAGACTGTGCCCCTGCTGGAAGGAGAAACGAGGCAGACTATAAATCAGAACACTGTGGCTGATTGGCCGGGTCCGTGGAACTTCGGTGAGAAGAACCCATTCTTGGACGACGAGTGGAAGCCCCTTCCTGACCTGTTAGGTGAGAAGAACCCATTCCTGGATGACGAGTGGAAGCCCCTTCCTGACCTGTTATCTGAAAGCGAAAAACATTGGAATCATTTTTTGGACACTGGTTACCTGTTGGACACCCCAATAAATATGTCACCTGTTTCTAAACCACAAAAATCTCTGGATTTCTTTGATTCGGGGAAGGAGCCTAAAGTTGAACCCGCACAGTCACTGTGAGACTTTCATTAGCCACGCTGGGCTGGGGTTCGGGGAAGGAGCCTAAAGTTGAACCCTCACAGTCATTGGGAGACTTTCATTAGCCACGCTGGGCTGGGGCCTGACATTTTCCATTAAATAAGATCTCAATTAAAAAAAGAACACAATTTCTCGCTCCCCCTTGGCATGATAGACATTTAGTTCTTTAGTCTAATTTTGTGCCACTCCACATGTGTAGGACTACAAATTCTGTCATCCTCAGATAGCATGCTGGACCCGTGAAAGGCTTTTCAATTAGACAAATAAAATAACAAAGCTGTATTGTTCCATTTTGGAAGAGACAGTTATGATGGAAAAAACTGAAATCAGCAGAAAATGAAGACTGAACACGAGATGGATCGACTCAATAAAGGAAAACACAGATTTGAAATTACACGTTTCCTATGAAATCTTAGTTCAGCCCAAAGGGCTGAGACTAAGAAAAAGTGGAGTTGTAAGAGATTTGAATCACAAAGAGCGGGAGAGATGAGGTGAGTTCTGTATTGATGCTGTTGCTGAGGCCAAAATTGTAATGGTTTATTGTTAGAATTGCTCGTGTTGTCTGTTCTATAACTGAGTAACAAAATATTTTGTGAAATTGTGTTTGTAATGTTTATCAATATATGTCTAAGTAAATAAATTAGCTTCTTAGAAGGTAGTGCTACATTTACAACACCTGAGCAGGCCTAATGATCAGATCTTCTGGATCAGATTTTTGATCTTCTGGGGTTATAGATGAGAAGCAACTTTATTGTACATAACAATATTCTTCTACTGCTTACTTTGATCAGCTCTCAGTTTTGTCCTGGCCTGAGATACTCATGGAGAGAGAATTTAGGAGGGGGGTTTGCATGTAAAACATCTGAATTTTCACTCTAATTGTGGCTGTTTAATTTTTGTTCCTCAAATTGCGATGCTTGTCAGCTGCAGCATATTATTTTGTGTTTGCCTTTTGCTTTTCAGCCACTTGGTGGCAATGTTGCCCAACTGGTTCTGGCTGAAATGGGTTCTTGTGATATAAAAATGTGATACAAAGCCTTCTTTCTTGCCTAGAATAGAGATGGAAATGACTGCTTTATTGATAGGTGGGCAATAAGAGAACAAACATCCTCAAACTGTTGGGAGAGCCATAGGGATGGGAGGAACAAAATTTTTGTAAGAAGGAGGTGAAAAAAAGAGTAGAAATTTAGCAGGATCCTCCTACATCAAATGTTGAAAACAAATTAAATAATAATTTTTTCAAACCAGGGCTGGGGAAGTGGTGGTCCTCTTGCATATTGTAAGCTTGTGCTCCCTATAAGGTCAGAGGGCCACAGTGGCCCCTCTCCATCCTTAACAAAAAATTCTATTTGTTATTTGTTTTAGGTTGATAGAGGCGAACAATCACAACCCCAGCCTTAGGAGTAAAAATGCTCAAACAATGACAAATAATGAATATGTCTTTCATCCTTCTAATTGCAGCTAACTAAGAAGCTTCATCTTGTTCAGACTATGGGTACTTGAATGCTAATGTTACAGGTAAAAATAAAACAAAAATTAAAACATGTTGGCACCTTAAAGACTAACTTAAATATTTTTCTATGTAAGCTTTCATGGACAAGTCCACTTCGTCAGACATAAAAGAGACCCCGCCAGATTACAGCTATAAGACGCTTAGGGACTTTACCTTTCACTCTGTTTTTACACAACAGGATACTATTTTATGAAAACAATACATAAAATCAGTACACAATACCTGTACTGTCATCAGACATAATCAGTACACATCTGATTATGTCTGATGAAGTAGACTTGTCCACAAAAGCTCACGTTTTAAAAGAAAAGTTAGTTTTCTTTCGTTTTCACCTAGAAGGCTAATGGTTACACTATAGACTTGTCCACAAAAGGTCACATTTTAAAAGGAAAGTTAGTTTTCTTTTGTTTTCACCTAGAAGGCTAATGGTTACACTCAGATGGAGTCATGTTGCTAGAACTGCGATGGCTGTCTATTGTATGT